TAAATGGACAATTGCTGAGCATTCTTTCTGATGTTCTATCCCATCTATTCTTAACCCATCGGGCCCCAAAAAACACTAAATTATTAGCATTATTTTCTGATTGCTCTGACTAATTTGTTGATCAGTTTAAAACAGAAAAAAACATTTAAAAATAAAAATAAATAAATATTGTTTTAAACAAACAGATCTTACCAACTACATCCAGCAGGTAAGTGTGTTTAAGGCTCCCATGTTCATTCTCCACCACACAGGTGTAGTTCCCCCTATCAGAGGGAACCACTGACTCCATTATCAGAGTCCACATGTGGTCTCTGATCTGAAAGATTGAGGACCGATAAAACAAAATTTAACAAATCATTTTTAAAAATCTCTAAAGTTGCCCTCTCGCCATTAAGCACGCACCTTGAAGCCTCCTATTCGTTGGTCTTTCTTGAACTCTTTTCCATTCTTGTACCAGCGCAGACTGGGAACAGGGTTTCCAGTTGCTTGACAGCGAAACTTGACCGTCTTGCTGGCAGGAACAGCATGGAGCTGCTTCTCCATCTTCTCCGGCATCACCCACTGTGGCGCCAGCGCTAACGAGGAGACACCGTCACATAAACATTATAATCACAATCATTGGCATCTGTACTAATTAAACTCAAATGCTGGAAGGCTTCAGAGCATTGTGAGGCTTACTTTGGAGCTTTTCGTTGCTTGTTGACAGCTCATTGGACAGTTTATTTTCCTCTGAGGATGACTCGTCGTCTTCTTCGTCTTCAGAGGATTTCATTGCATCTGGTTGAAAAGAAATTTTAAAGGAGGAATTTGTAAGAATGCACAGACAGAAGAAGCAACTCTAAGCCTTTTTTTGGTAGGAGCCAGAGTTTCCTCTTAACAAACAATGAAAGCAGCATGAGGATTAACCCCTGACCTGTGTGAAAAGAGACACAGAGTTTTTATTCGACCAGCGGCAGCAGACAGGAGCTGTCGCCACGGCAAAAAGCTACACCCCAACCACTTCTGAAATTTCACAGACCTCCTTCCTCCGCAGACACGGACCATTAACAGCAGGCTAAAAACACCAACTCTCCCAGAGAAAAAGTAATTGGACGGGCAGAAAAGCTGATTTGTGCTTTCATTAAACAAGCAAGACCTCCAAGGATTGAGCTTTTCTGTGGTTACTGCTGAATGGTAAATAGAAGAAATGATGTTTAGGAAAACTGTGGTCTTAATAATCAGTAGTTTGGGCTATTTCATGAGATAAAAATGGTAATGTGGTTGGATGTCTTTGATACATGTAGTATAATTATAATATTTGCACCAAATCTTTTGTAATATTTTATTTTTGTGTTGGTCATTCATATGATAACGCTACAAAAATGTATAAAAATGATGAATCAACCACAGGAGCCATTTTGATGAAGGTAAGGTAGAACATTTGACTCGACAAACATCATATTGTTTTGTTTATGTCATTCTAGGGATCATTTTAGGCTTCTGGGCTTCTTCTGCTTCTTGATTTGGCTGCTCTCTCCACTTCACCTCTCAAGCACTGGTTTCATTGCTTTGGACGGTCACAATGTTTCTTCACAGGTACATTTGTCTCCCTCTCATTTTCACACATATTCTGTCCTTCCTTCCTTCTGTTCTTCCACTGACTTTTATTCCTCTTCAATCCACAGCAGATCTACACCTCTCCAGGCTCTCTTCCACCTAGGGTTGGGCGATAGTGGCCAAAAAATGATCATAATCTATTGTGGCATTTAGCCGATAATGATTAATGTGACAATTAGTAGATGGCAATTGCACTTACATATTTTTGACTCTAAATCCGTTATCCTGTCTTCTAGGGTCACCAATTTCCTTACTTTTGGGAGATCGGAGATCGGCCGATCCTAACATAAGATCACAAAAGTCTGAAAATCAGCCACTATCCTGAGCATTACCTAATATCCAGTTAAAACAAGTTTGTATTGTTTCAAGGGTATTGTCCTGATGCATCTCAGTATTCCAGGTAAAAAATCAAAAAGAAAAAAACATGTATAGGTCTTCTGGACGGGTTGCCCATTTTTTAACCCAACCAGAAGACCTATACATTTTTTTTTCTTTTTCAAGGGTATTGTTTAAAGTATTTCAGTAAAATAACATTTGAACATTGAAGTTGTATTGTGACTTTTTAACATCTGACAGTGTCAGCTATTTAAAAAATCGGTTCGGTATCGGCCAAAATCAGAATCAGCAGATCAGGCTTTTTAAAAATAAAGAAAACTGGAATCGGTGCACCCCTACTGTCTTCTAAAATTATACTTACAAATCATGAGTCAAACTCACTTGCAAGGTTGAAAAAGTAAGTTGTAAATTGAAACCCACCATTTCCACAATGTGGAATAGCAGCATATCTTTGGTAATGCAATATGTCACGAGTTCACATGCACGCATGACAGTGAGAATGCACACGCAAAAATGTCATCACATGGCACTAATTGCACTAATTTATAATTACATGAAGTGTCAAAAATTAAATGTTGACAGTTTTTCTGGCTAAATGCACACAATACAATTTTGCCAAACCCTACTTCCACCTTCTCCCTACTCTCAGTACAGATCATCATGTTGTCTGTGAGCATCACAGTCCATGGGGACTGACCTCATCTATCAACCTGTCCATCACCGCATATTGCTATGGATAAAATGCAACACCACCACTCCATGTTGATAGACTGGTGGAAAATCACTGAACACAAATATCCCCAACTGGAAATATTACCAAAAGCACAGGTTTGAGTACCCACACAGAGAGGCTTTGTCAGCATCAGAACTTGTCTGTCTATAGGGCTGCACAATACCCAAATTTATCATCGCGATAACAGCCTATAGGGATATTACAAAAAACTGCATAAACGGCAATAAATGGTTGGCTCAAATGTTTGCATTTATGCATTTTGTCAGAATCAGTGATAAAAAAGGACCCGAGATACCACATAAAATCATAACTACTTGGTCAGTGGACAAAATGTTGGACAACTGCAATGAGAGAATTTGAAGTTGGATTTAGGTTCGTTAACTTTTATTGACAATTTTTACGTTATTTTCTGTTTTTTTTTTTATTATTTATTTTAAAAAACTGACAGTAAGGGGTGTTTTTCAGTACTTAGAGCATCAGAAAATGTTTAATGTTTTAAAGTCATTGAGAAACTGTATTTCATGCAGTTTGTTGTTTCACTGCTAATACAGCAACTGTGTCTAGTTGCACTTTTTTTAAATAAATGGTCATTTTGGAATGGAAATGTTGTATTTAGTTGTTGTTTTTGCTCTGAACCCAGAGCAGAAAGACATCATATCATCATCTAAATATTAAGCAATGTTATTATACATCACAGGTTTTCCTGATATCGTGGAGCTCTACTGTCTTTCATACTGTATATGTTCCTGCGGGTCATGAAGACAAGGTCGTGTTTTAAACCCAAAAAATAAATAATTCTGAACAGCTGCTAGGACTAGCTGTACGTGAATATTATTCTTGTGAGTATTGGCTTCTCTCAGATATATTTAGATGTCCTGTGTTCAAAATTACATTGTGCTAACTAAATAAAGAACTGTGCACATTTTCCTGCAATTTAAGAAACAATGAGAAGTTATTCTGACACTTTTTAAGCCATATTTACTACAGCATTGTATCCTTAAAGGACACGATAGCTCTAAAAAGAACAAATGGTTGTCAGTAGGTATTTGTGTAGGTGTAAGATTTGAATAACTTCCAGAGATTTTAAATTTTTTTTTACTTTGAATGTCCAACCCTTTCAAAAAAATGTTAGTCTTTCAACAAACATTAGAAACCAAGACAGTTATTACTGTAATTTAAAAGAAACTGACACAAACAACAAAAACCTTTGCATTTCCTTTATTAATTTAGGTAAAACTCAGACAACGGGGCATTAACTTCCAAAGGTATTCATAAGGGTTCTGTTTAGGGCTACATAATATTTCCAGAATTTATTGTTACCACAGTAAAGCTTGGTGGTCAGTGCAGGGGTTTTATAATCCTGAGGCTGTAGGTTCAAGCCCAGGTTGTATCAGGAATGACATTTGAAATAAAATTAAAAAACTGCCAAATCTTTCATGGGAGTGGTTGCTGTGGCAATTCATGCAGAAAGTATTGGTGGGCACCATATCTATATCAGAAGGTCCTAGGTTTGATCCTCAGTTTGGACCTGGGGTTTTTCTGTGTGGAGTTTGCATGTTCTCTACATGTTTGAATGGGTTTTCTCCAGGTACTCTGGTTTCCTCCCACAATCCAAAAAACACACCTACAGCAAACCACTACAACCCCATCAACAAGATCACTAATATAGGAGAAACACTAGGTTATGCAAATGAGTGGCAGCTGCTAAGCTGTGATTGGTGGAACAAAGCTTTTCTGAAAGCGGATTGGCTCTTGCATAAGTTGCCAGATCACCACCAAAATTTTATGAGTTTCTCATTGTAACAACCCCAACATGCCCTGAAAATTAGAGGTGTCCCGATTCCGATACCAGTATCGGTATCGGATCCGATACCAGCATCAAGTACTCATACTCGTACTCGTAAAAGCCGGCCGATACTCTTAACCGATACCGCTTTTGTCCCCTCCTGTGCTGCGCTGCAATACAAAGAGTAAACAACATATCAT